CTGCCCTTCAGGTCTGGAACTGAACCCACTCCTGTGGCTTCCAGCCAAACAAAAGACAGGCAGGCATATGAGCTGAACATTTACATCAGGTAGATACACTCCTTGGAGCCATTAATCAATCGTGGGAGAACAGATGGACAGTGTTTGCACAGGGAGATATCTCTGGGGACAGGAGTACATGGGAGGGGAGAACACAGGGAAGAGGTAACTATGGGGAAGAAGTGGAATAGAGCTATTACATTGTGGGGACAGCAGTCAATGTCATGAAACAAAATGTATATAAACTGCTGTATGGAAAATGAATTTGCTCTGTAAACTTGCACCCAAATCACAATAAAAATTAAAAAATCAAAACTAAAACTAACCCCTCACACAAAAACATAATTTACTGAATTTTCAGTTTGTCTTGATAAACTTCATTGCTAACAATTAAAATATAAATGAATCTTAAAGGGAATGAGAGAAACTATGTAAATGCACACCAGTGCCTATGCAAAATGATGTCTTCTGGTATTTTTGATTCCCAATCTGCTCATCTGTGATTGAATGAAAGCATTCACATATTCCTCTGGGCTTCTCTGAATGTCTAAAAACAATACTTATCATAATATTTTGTGACATTCGCCAATGACAATTGTTTTTATCTCTGTTTATTTGTTTAACCAGTTGATGCATGAAGTCCCAGGGACCCTGCCTAGACTCACATAAGAAAGACTGCAAGATCCTGGGAACTGGAATCGTCTGCTTTCTGGCCCTCTGCTTTTTTATTTCTCATGACCTGTTTACTATTTCAAGATCAGGATTTTTTTTTTTCTGATAAAATAGACTTCTGTTTATGGTTTATGTCGAAAAATTTGCTTTCTACACAGTTCCATGAACTCTGTGGGCTGATATATACTGCACGGGTTTGTGAGAAGAAAGACTTGGTCAATAAAAGACTTTTAGTGGGTAACTTATTTGTTCAAAATTGGAAGGTTGGGTAGGTAAATAATGATACATTCCCACCAGCCACTCCTTGGAAGGAAGATTGGGCAACCTACTTCCATAGAGATACTGCCTTGGAAACCCAAGGAGAGCTTACTATGAGTCGGATTCAACTCGATGGCAGTGAGTTTGGTTTGGTTTTATGAAATATTATGCAATCACCAAGACCAATGATGTAGATGGATATTGTGACAGAAGGACTGGAGGTCCTTCCTCCTTGGAATGTGCTGGAGAAACAATTAGGTGGTCTGTGTTGTCTACGGCTGGGGCCTGGGATCTGGTTTTGCTGAGCTTGTTTGTATAACTGCTGTGTTTTTGCTTGCCTGAGTGGGTGGAATGTGCAAGCCAAGGAGACTTGGACAAAAGAGTTGCAACAGAGATATTCACGGTAGTTTCTAGAACCTTACAGACTCAGTCTTTCAGTCTTGCAACTTCATGGTTTTTAGACCATTTCTGCAGATGTTTGTCTTGTTGTTTTGGCAACTTGATCAATTTTATATCTTTTCTAGCATTGCTATGGACTACAAAAGATCTGAAGACATGAATTTACCAAGGGCCTCTTGCTTGGAAGTCCAGATGTAAGTGTGTGTGTGTGTGTGTGCACATGCATGTGTGTGCATGTGTGTGCCTGCATGTACATTTTTAATAAAGGTGGAAGAACCTTGAGCATATTTATAAGCTGAGGGAATGAGCCAACAGAGAGAAAGAACCTGAAAAGGTATGCAGCCAAGATGAAGCAGGGGTTGGTTTGAAGAGTTCCAAAGATAAGTGGACATATTATGAACCTATGAGAAGGTCACCTCTGAAGCAAGAGGAAGGTTGGGAATTACATGCATTTGTAATAGCAGCCTACCTGGGAAGTTCAGTGAGCTCATACTTATGGTTTCTTACTTTTATGTCAAGTTGGAGTCAAGACAATTTTCTGTGAGTGAGCAGAAGTGGAAGCTTGGGAAGCATAGATAGAGTTTGTGGAATAGGCACTGAACTTGAGCATTGTGCCACAGCTTGTTTACCCAAGAAATCAGTGATTTAAACTGAGTTAAATCTGTGGTTAATGACTCTACCAAACCAAAAACTAAACTCACTGCCGTTGAGTCGGATCCAACTCACAGAGACCCCTCCTTGGGTTTCCGAGGCAGTATCACTACAGAAGGAGATTGCCAAACCTTCCTTCCTAGGAGTGGCTGGTGGGTTTGAACTTCCAGCCCTCTGGTTAGCAGTCAGATGCCTTAGGCACTAGGCTACCAGAGCTCCCAGTTAATGACTCTAGCAACTCTTAAATTTTATGATTCTCCATGAAGGCTCATTTATCAATAGTCTCTCTATTCCTGATTACTCACTTCCTCATCCTTCTTCTGGTTGAGAAGTGTAACTACTTCATATCCAACTCAATCTTTGAAATAAATTTTTGGTACAACATTGCTTTCATGTGAAAATAATGAAAGCAGTTTTTTAAAGGTTTTTTTTTTGTTTGTTTGTTTTAACTGTACTATATTGAAAGGATTTTTTAATTCTTGAGGCAAATATAATCCAATACTCTGGTAGTTAAGGTTGTGTGTCAACTTGGCTGGACCTGGTTTTGAGTGGCTGGGCAGCTGGATGTAGTTATGTTGTCTAAGTTGTTTGTAAAAGACTTTACTGTTTGTTGTTACTAGTTGTCCAGTTGATTCCAACTAATGGTAACCCCATGTGTGTCCAAGTAGAACTGCTCCAAAGGGTTTCCAAGGCTGTGGCCTTTTGGAAGCAGATCAATGGGCCTGTCTTCTTTGGGCCTGGTTCGAACAACTAGCCTTTCTCTAGTAGTTGAGCATTTAACCGTTTGCACCACCCAGGGACTCCTAACAAGACTTTACCATCATTTAAATATATACTGCTTTCTGTAGTACAGTGTGGAGGGTAGTCATTTCTTCTTTTGCTAATTTTTAATTTCACATGACATTCTCAGGGGCATCTCCATAGATTAGTGGTCAGCAGTAATCTCATCCAAGTGTGGCCAAGATGACAAGGAAGCTGTTTGGAAGGGTATGGTGACTGTTTGTAGGTTTGTAGGAGGAACATGGAGGTGTCCATGTGGTACAGAAGTCAAAGGCCTGCGATTCGCCTGCTCATTTGAATTCTCAATTTCCATCCTCTTCCATTAAAAAAAAGTCAGGTGACACATTCTAAGGATGAACAAAGTACGGTTTTGGGATATCAGGGAAACCGCTGCAAAAACAGCAGGAGGTTCACTTTGGTTGGGACACAGAGCAGGTTTCAGAGTGAGAGGACCAGGGAATGAGATCAGGAGCAGGGGTTGGCACAGTAAGATACCACTTCACATCCACTCAAAAAAAAAAAAAAAAAAACCAACTCATTGCCATTGAGTCAATTCCTACTCATAGCAACCCCCATTGGGTTTCCAAGGCTGTAAATCTTTATGGAAGTAGATCACCCCATCTTCCTTCCATGGAGTAGCTGGTGGGTTTGAACTGCTGACTTTCTGATTCCAGCCAAGTGCCTTATCCACTACGCCACCAGAGCTCCATCCACTAGGATGGCTACAATCAAAAAGACTAATAATACCAAG